CACTGTCACCTCCCGGGTGTCCCCTGCCCTGAACCACAACGCTGGAGCAAAGGAGACCCCAGCGCCCACTCAGAAATACCTCAGCCCCAAGGACTTTCCACCCCGGTGCACTGAGGTCCGTGGGGCACAGGGATGTCCCCGGGCCCCCCTGCCATGCCCAGGGGTCCCCACCATGACCCTGAGTCCCTTCCTGGGCAGTCAGTGGTGAGGGTGTGGGTTGCAAAAATCTCCCCTTTTCCTTCCAGCAACCACTGACCTCCCCTGGGAGCGTCTGTTCCTCCCGCGGATCCAGCGTCCCCGGATCGCCCTCCAGCATCGTGGTGAGAGTTGACTCACCTCTCCCCATCATCCCTCCATCCCTGGGGTGAGGGTATCCCTGCCCAAACCCACCACTCCCAGTGGGGCCACGGAGAATGCCAGCCCCAGGAAAGCCCACCCCATTCCCCAATGTTGCCTTTCTGCACCCAAAAACGAAGGTGCTTTTCCTTCCTTCCAGGCCAAAATGGACAACGAGGTTCTGGGCTACAAGGACCTGGCTGCCATCCCCAAGGACAAAGCGATCCTGGACATCGAACGCCCCGACTTGATGATCTACGAACCCCATTTCACCTACTCGCTCATGGAGCATGTGGAGCTGCCCCGGAGCCGAGAGGTGAGGGTGTCCTGGGACCACCGACACCCCCTGGTTGTCTTGGGGGTCAATGGAGGGGAAGTCCCCCCAGATGGAGGTGTCCCAGAGGGCAGATGTGGGGCTGCTGGAATAAATTTCTTCTTGCCTTCTGCAGCGTTCCCTGTCTCCCAAATCCATCTCTCCTCCTCCGTCTCCGGAGGTGAGTACCCACAGCCCTTGCCCCAACTCTGGGGGCTCCAAGGAGGAGGAGAGGGCGATGCCAAATTGTCGGGGTCTCGATGCTCCCCTACAGGTCATCCGGGAGTGGATTGAGAGTCGGACCCCCAGCAGCACCCCGCAGCCCCCCTCTCGCCAAGGCAGCAGTTCAACCCGGAGCAGTGTGCAGCATTTCCACCGACCGGGTACGTTCCCCTCTAACCCTTCTGGCACTGCCTGCCCCCAAACTCCAGCCCCTTTCCAGGGCTGTGAGCCACCTATTCCCACCCCCTAACCCCTTTTTTCCTTGCAGAGACCGACACGACGGAGCTCAACATATATAAGAAGCCTCCGATTTACAGGCAGAAAGGTGAGCGGGGGTGTCTGTCCCACGGGACGGGGCACAGGGTTCTGCCTCACCCCCTCTGTTCCCCCAGACCACCATTCCAGCGCCCACCATGGGAAGCATCTCATAGAGGACTTGATCATCGAATCCTCCAAGTTCCCGGCGGCGCAGCCCCCAGACCCCAACCAACCCGCCAAGATCGAGACCGATTACTGGCCGTGCCCCCCGTCCCTGGCCGTCGTGGGTAGGTGGGGAATGCGGGCAGGCGAGGGGGCGGGCTCACCCCAGGGGTTTATTTCCACCTAGAGACCCCACAGGATGCTGGGGACGGATATAACATCCCCTTTTTTCCCCCCAGAGACAGAGTGGAGGAGGCGGATGGCCTCCAAGAGAGGGGAGGAGGAAGATGATGACCTGACGGAGGAGATGAAGATCCTGCGGGAGCTCCAGAGGCAGGAGCTGAGCAAGGTCAGGGGCAGAGCAGGCGGGTGGGCACCCTGCGAGGGGCTGCGGATGTGCAGACACTGACCCCCACCCATGTGCCTTCACCCCCAAGGTCACCTCCAACCTGGGGAAGCTGATTTTGAAGGAAGAGATGGAGAAATCTCTCCCCATCCGGAGAAAAACTCGCTCTTTGCCAGACCGGACACCCTTCCACACGTGTATGTGGGATATTCTTCCACATCCCACCCCTTTCTTTCCTCACACACCCCTGCCTGCTCCCACAGGCCCTTGCCATCGCCTCTGACTGTGTCTTGTTCTCCTGTAGCCCTGCACACAGGGAGCTACAAGAGCTCCTCGCTCCCCGCCTCCGGCAGGAGCACCCTCACCCGGGTGAGTGGGCAGGGGCTGCCGGGGCCACGCAGCCTTGGAGGGGTTCCTGGGGGTGGCCCCCGCTCTGATGCTGTCCCCTTCTCCTTGCAGCTGCAGTCAGCAGAGTTTAGCTCGGCAGGCAGCGAGAAGAGCAGTCCAGGTGAGCGTCAGTCCATGGCGTGTGGGTCACCGTGGGGAGATCTGGGGTGTCTTGGGGGATCTGGGGTGTCTCAGGGGATGTAGAGGTGTCCCCAGGGATGGGGAGTGTCACCAAGGATATGGGGATGATCCTAGAGATGGGAGTTGCTGGAGCAAGCCTGGGCTCAGCAGAGGGTGAGAAACCACTTCTTGGGGTTTGTCAACCACCAAGGGGAAGATAGTGGGGGACAATGGGGGTTCCCTCCGGGGCTGAACCCTGCTCCTCTCTGTTTTCCAGGCCTGCAGGTAAGCGCTCGTCCGGCTGCCGGGGTGGAGACCCAGCGAGAGGGTGATGTATGCTGGGGGCTGGGCAGGGGGGACACACAGACAG